AGGGTTAGGGTTAGGGTTCGGGTTCATCAGGACCTTGGGAAGACTGTGCCTGCCAGGCTGTTTCCATCACTGGGGAAAAATGGATGAATTTCTGCTGATCTGAGTGAATTCTGGCTAGGAAATGAAAATCTAACACACAGAGGATTGTTCCAAACCCAGCTCTTCCATTCCAACAAGTCAGGCCAGCTTTTCCACCCCTCTGGGGAATCCTCCAAGACAACACACAAAAGATCAAAGGCTTCAGAGTGTGATCCCAAAATGACAGTGTGAAGTGAGCTCACAAAACTGGACCTAAATCCCAGTTTTCCACAGGCAGCAGAATCTTTACTCTTCTACAGTCTGCCAACTCTCACAGGCACAAATCAAAAGAGAAAACTGCTGGAGAAAAGGCTCTGCCACATTTATCAGCCCATTGCAGTGACCTTACTTTGGTACCAGCGAGTTCTTTCATCATGAAGAGGGAATCATCAGCTTTGTCATCATCATCATCATCATAATTGGGAGAGGGGGTTCCTTCTGCCCCTTGCCTGGACAATCCTCCTCCTCCTCTGGGATCAAATGGATCCACCACGATTGGCTCTGTGCCTTTGATCTCACAGCGACAGAAGGGACAACCTTGGCCTTCTGATTCCTGCAGGGGACAGAAGAGATCTGTCACAACAGCCTTTGGGGTGCACCAATTATCACCTGCTTCATCAACAATCAGCTTTTATCCTGCTTTTTGGCAGGGAGCTTTCAACTGAGAGGAAGACAAAGGCAAACTGGGCTAGAAATATGGAACATTTTCTCCTTGAAAGTAGAAAAATAGCACTTTAGTAAGTTTTCAGAGTTTTTCTTTATTCCATATGAAGAGATCAGACATCTAAACAGCTTCTGGTGCAGTGACATTATGGACAATGTTTCTGCTACCTTCTCTCATACCTGAACAGTTCTGAGAAGAGAATATATCTGTAAAAGATCAAGCTCCTGCCCTCAGAGAGATAAAGAAGAGGCCAAGGCTCACCTGCCAGGCTGTGAGACAGGAGGTGCACATCAGGTGCCCACAAGGTTCAATCTTCACATCCTTGTCGTTCTCAGCACAGATTTTGCACAGCTGGAATGTGGAGCCCATCTCACAGTACAGCTCATATTGTTCCTGAGGGAAAGACAGCATAAATCACATGGAGAACAGAAATATGCAAAGATTTCACCATCATTTTACATGAAGATGCATCTATCAAGCTCTGAAAACAAGCAGAATTCAAATTATCCAATAATTTTCAATTAATCATCCCAAGAAAAGCAAGGTTCAAGACATGCTGAATGGCACAAAAGCATCAATGTTGGGGGAACATTCTAAAAATAAATCCTTAAAATCTGTCTTTGCAATCTCATCTACCCATCCTTATCATGCAAAGATTTCTGTAAATCCTGTAAAATACTGCAGCCCTAAAAACAAGTCTTGGGAATACCAAGTATAACAGAACTGGATGAACAGTTAAGGAAGGCAGAAATCAGGGGGAAAGGCAGAGTTGGATGGAATGGAATCTTTTACTCACCTGGGTAACTTTAATGTGGTCCTGAGGTGTGGGCTCACACAAGCCAGTCAAGTCAGGATTCTGATTCCGGCCATCGGGAAATAAATAACTGGAAGAAGTTTGGGGAAAAAAAAAAATCTCTGTATGTGCTTGTACACACATGTATAGACACACACACATGTATGCACACACATCTAAGGCTTCTTTTGGAGGTGGGAAGGGAAGGGAAGGGAAGGAAAGGGAAGGGAAGAAAGAATGGAGGTGAAAAGCAAGGGGTGGGAAGTCAAGGTATTTTGAATGCTAAAGTTTTGGAAGAATTTTATGATTGGAGCAAAATTAAACATGTTATTCTTAAAAGTATTGGTTCAAATTAAGGGTTTGACAAAAAAAAAGGGATTTATGAGAAGGGAAACATTGCTGTACATTTATCATCTGCTACTGCACAGCTTTCCAGTGCAAAGACAGCTGTCAGTAATTCCTGAGTGCCAAAATAGTTCAGCAATGACTTATTCCACTGACAGCAATGGGGCTATTCAAAATGTAATGCTTTGTTGTGCTAATTTTTATCAAGTTACTTACAAGCCTTCCCTGAAGCCATCAATCAGTGCTTGGAAAAGAGGTTTGTTGTGGGGGATTGTCTGGAGAATGTTCCCATCTGCAGTGACGTAGCCAATGGCCCACTGACCCAGGCGGGTACAGCTCAGTCGGAAAATGTAACTGAAAACACACAAAGGCAAAGAAACTTCAGCATGGAACAGACAGAAAAGATTCAGTGACAAGCAGGCAGTCATATCAATATATTTTATATATATATATATATATATATATATTTGTCTGGCCATATCAAGAAAGCAAATAAAATTAGTAGGAATAACTTGATGGTTCGTAGCAGCTTTGCAGGCAGTTCAAAGGGGAACTTTGCAATGTGATACAAAATGAGAAAAGAATCCAGGTGAAATCAAACCCAGAATCCAGAGCAAGAGAAGTTAACATCCTTAAAATCATTTGCTTCAAACCAACTTTCAAAAAGCCAACAAACAAACAGACTACAGGAGGTTTCCATGTTTAAAAGCAGCCCAGAAGTAAGCACACAAGCTGCAGAAAGGAGCACAGATGATCTGTCAGCCCTGCTGCAATCACTGGTGGCAGCCAGAAGCTCCCAGCAGGGCCCTCTCACCTGCCAGGTTTGTGAATGAATTTCTGAAGCCGAGCCTTCACCTCGTCATAGGTGAGGAATGCCATATACCCAGGGTGAGTCACTGCCAGGCTGTTCCAGTTCCTCAGCAAAGATGACCAGGGCTGGGGAAGCACCAAAGAAACAAATTAACCACACACTTCTGGGAAGGGTCAATATTCCTCAATCAAAGGGTTCTTCAGTTAGAGAAACATGTTTCTGTTCCACCACAAATTCAGTAGAGGAAGCAAAACATTTATTCCCATGCAGCATTTGGCATATGAATTTCTTGCTTGTTGGGGAATAATAAAATCATCACCTAAGACAGACCTTAATCAAAACTCTAATAAATACAAAAGGAGAAGTCACTGAGGTCACAGCTTAAGAATAGCCATCAATTGTGCTGCTTCTGCAGAGAAAATGACTCATTCCCCAGACAGGGATAAAGGCAGGAGTTTAATGAGATTATGCACAGGCCCAGGAACCATGACTGGTCTCTCCTACACCGACTTCCTGCATGGCCTGGGGACAGTGGCCTCCCCTCTGTGTCTCAGTTTCACTGTCTGTAACTTGTGACTATTCCTCACCAACCCAACCTCACCAGGGTGTGGCAGGGACTGTGGCTGGTCTCAGATCTGAATAAAGAAACCAGCACACACATCTCAAATATTGCTTAAAATGATGCCCCAAAAGTCATAACAACCATTTGAAATCTCCCAGCCCTGAGAAGGGCTTGGGTGTGTAAATCTCATCTGATTTTTCCAAGTTTTTTAACTGGTCTACAAGAAGGTATCAGCACTCCCTAAGAACTCTGCATCCTCTGGAATGTGCAGCAGCTCTTGACTTGTTCTTTATGTACAACACTTGGAAAAAGTGCTGAATGAGATCAGCTACATTGCAACACCAAACATGGGAATTTTTCATCTAGACATATCTTAATTACAACCCACCCCATCACATGGGAAAAGACAAGTCAGAGCCAAAGAAGTAAGTGATTGTTCTTGTAAATACCCAATTGTACCATCAGAAGCTGTGTTTTTGAATTTAGCACTATTAGAGACTGTGAGGAAGAATTTTACCTACTATAAATATCCCTTCAGTGATACAGAGATTTCTCACACACACAGACACGTTCACAACATCCTGGCTGGGTCAGTTCAAAAGATAGGAAGCCCAAATTTCCATGCTTGATCTCCATCCTGAACAACCCCCCCTTCATGGAAAAAAAATCTGACAATAAAGAAAGGGATGAGGGAAGACAGAGTGATAAACTAAGCTTCACATTTCCTGGCTTGCAGAAGCTGTGTCAGAGCTTCAGTCTCAAAGTGACCTTTGAAAGAGAAAACCTGATTCATGGCAGGATGTTGAATGTGCCTGGGAGTTGCAGTGTATATTTAGGGATTTTTTTTTATTCTACAGCCAGAAATATCACCCACTTTTACTGCAATATGGAATCTTAAATATTACTCTTTAAGGGATGGAGGGCAAAACAAGCAAATCCCATACAGCATAAATAATGTGTGGATTATTTATAATTATATATAATTGTGGCCTGGATAAAAAAAAAAAGAGTATAACCTGAAGCACTGAGACACTTCAAGTGATTCCCATTCCTCAATTCTCACCTGGAAGAGTCGTGTGAAGATGTCAAACTCAAACACTGAGATGTAGTCATTGCAGGTCAGGTCGATGGTTGATTTGAGGGCCATGGCCTCCAGGCCAGAGCTGATGGGATGCACCTCGTGCAGGGCCTGGCGAAAGCTCTTCCAAGGAACAATGGTCCTGGGGAAAAGCAGGGACACACATAGTGAGAAAATACCAAAATTACAGCCTGGAAAATATTCCAGGCTGGAGCTTCTCAGCTCTGTTCCCAGCCCATGAGCTGGGCCAGCTCAAGGCCGGGGAGAATTTCTCCCAGGGTGATAATTTGGTCAAAATAAAAAGGAATTAATAACAAAATCAAACCCCTGTTGTGGTGTGTGCCCAGGCCCTGGCAATGGGGTGTCTTCTCTCTGAACCAATCACCTTTCCTCTACTCTTGCTATAAACCCAAGGGTGTTTCTGAATAAACTTGGCTCTTTCCTCCTGTCGTGACAGACGCCCATGGAGCTGTGCATCTTATTTCTGCCTCACTTAAAGGGTTAAAACCCCTTCCCACGGCTGCAGGGAAATGCCTGAGGAGCAGCACCACCATGAACACACCTACACATCACCTTTGTGAGTATCCATGTTGTGATAATAAATCAAAAATACCTGCAAGAGATTTACCCACATCACACAAACACAGATTTCTTGGTACTGCAGGAAATCAGCAGCCAAATGAACTTAAAACAATTTGCTCTGCACATGTAAAATTTTGGAATTAGAAGTCCCTCTCTGGTTTCTCTTTTCCCTCTTTCTGCAGTCCTACCACAGCATCACTTGCTAATAATTTTACAATGTGGCAGCTGGTAGAGAAGGAGTTAAATCTATATGGTTAAAAAAAAAAGCTGCAAAGAACTATCTAAAGAAGGATTAACTGGAAAAGGAAGATAATCAGAAGCCAAAACACAGGCTCCTGTTTAAAAGAATATTTTCCTTTTTTTAATATATCAAGTGGCATAGAAACAGAAAGAAAATGCCTCACTTCAGACAACTGTGCTATTCATGAGTAAATACATTATGGCTTTTTGTTCTGACAGCTACTAATTAAACTCTTTAGGTGAAGTACCTCAGTTCCCTCAGTTTGAAAGCAGTACCCAATCCATTAACTTTAATCCCCAAACATTGCTGTGAACACCTCCATGGTTCATTTAGCCAGTGTTTCATTAGATACAGAAATTAAACCTGACATTTCAGCACTCTGCACACAAAGATTGTTGCATTTCCCTTTCCCTCTTCACTCTTAGCAAAGCCATTTTGCAAAGAGAAATTCAAAGAAGAAGAGAGGTGAGTAAATGATTAGAGAGACTAATTGGAGGGAAGATGAAAAGAATGAGTATTATGGCTTAGCTAAAGAACAACCCATGTTGGGGGCATGGTAACCTTTGGAAGAAGAAAGGATTATTTGGCATAGCTTGTAGAGCTTATTTTACAAGTTAAAGAATTAAATCAAGGAGAGGAAATTTTAAGCTGAATAATCAAGGGAAGCACTGTGACAATAAAAGAGTCTCCTGGGGAAACTGGGGAAAGATTCATCCACACACATTTAAAACCAGACAGGACAAAAACTGGGAAATTTAATGTAGGAATAATTCCTTACCTCACCCCAGAGAAAGACCAAATGACCAGCAGGTCTCTCCCATCATTTATTTTAACTTTTCTGAACAGAATTCTTTAAAAACACTATGTGCAATTTCCTCCCACACCTCTATTTCTAAGCAGAGTTAGAAACTTACTTTTCACCAAAAGCTTTTCTCCAAAATTCTGCAGCATCTGCCTTGGTGATCCGGAACGTGTCCCCCTGGAAGAGGCCACTGGGGAAAATCCCTTTGAGTTCTGCCAGCATGTGGCTGAATATCAGGGACAATTTGGTCAGGTTCCTCCTGCAAAGGACCATAAAAATGGTTTCTTTTAGAATAAAAAAAGAGTTTAGCATTCTGAGCAAAGCAGAACAAGCATTTATTGCAATTCAAGAATGATGCCAGCATGCAAAGCTTTTATTTGGGGCTCTCTTTCAAGTGTTTCCCCAGCATTCAGAACATCCAAAACATGGGAATTACCAGCAAGGTTTGTGTTTGTCAAGACATTTTCCACAAAGACAAACTCTGTATCATCTCTATAAGGTGGACAGGCAAAAATCCTCCCGTGGAAAAACACATTCACAGAAAATGTGCAAAACCAGTACTCAGACCTCACTTATTGAGTATTGAAGATAAAACCTCATCAGCCTTGGGTCTGAAAATTCCTTTTGAGAGCACATAAAACTACTCCTGCCCCAGACAATGGAAGCTGAATGTCTTTCCAGGTCTCCAGAGGCTCCCAACACAATAGATTTGCTCAGGGAATGTCTAACTGATCATAACAGGCCCAAGCTCCCAAGGGAATGCAGAAACACCTGCAGGTTTTTCCTGAAATGGGAACAACTCACACACAAAAGCTCCATGGTCAGGGCTCTCAAATGTATTGTGTTTAATTATCCAATCTGAATTACAGCTGGTACCTCAAGTCCCTTCTCTGCCTGATGACACTGAGACATCAGGAGTGCTCTATCCCACAGGATTTGCCCTTTTTTAAATTGGAGTGGGAAAGCTGGAGAAGAGAATAGATATTTTTTTGCTATTCTATTTCACCACAGGCAGCTTTCTCTCACTATTTTATCCAAATAAAAGATCCTCTCTTCTCCTCCATTCCATTGCTAGGAAAACTTCCTGAAAAGAGACAGGGAAATTTCGAGGCCAGAGGATTTTTTTTTTTTCACCCCCACATCACGTGCTTGAAGGTAAAAGAAGGAACTGGCATCATGTGGGAAAGAACAACTTGTGAGCTGTGCCCAACACAGCAGAACTGCTCAGAAAACTGCACCAACCACCCAGGCATGGCACAGACTCACTTATGGCACTGATTATTTCAATATTGAACCACAGAGGAAGGGAACATCCCCAGTCACATTGGATTTTCTTGTTTTCCCATCTCTCTCCCTGAGTTTGTTGCTGTTGCAGGAGACACTGGTGATGGCAGCAAACTCCACTCCCCCAGGCTCCAGCCTTTCACCAGTTTCTGGTGTTCTGGTTGGACTGGTTCCTATTCACTTCATCTTGGATGTTTTTCAGATAGCACTTGCTCCAAACATTCCTACTTGAAGGACTTTTCCTGTTAATGTGCCTGATTGCAGAACTGGCCTCTCTAGCCTTTCCACAAAAATTCCCTGGACATTTGGGGCATTTCCCATATTTTCACAGGGTCTAGACTCAAGTGGAAGTGACCATATTGCTTGACATATATTTACTATTTACCCAGCCCCTCATGAGCCCTTTCTCCATACCCTGAGAGCCTGGGTAGATTAGAAGGGCCCAAAACTCTAAATTTTCTCTGACAGCAGTTCTCTCTTCCCCTTCTTTATTCAGCTACATTTTAATTAGTGTGCTGCTCAAAGTGTTTATGGAAGGCACCAGCTATAGAAGGAATTCTGGTTTTTGTCATTTCATACATGTCCAACAACAGCAGATGCTTGGGATTAACACAAGGAAAAGCCCCAGCTGCTCTTCCAGGAGCTGTCCCAGTCCCCAGCTGTCTCTGGATGTGTTACACACTCACACTGGGTATTTGAAAGCAGTTCTGCAGATTGGGTTTGGCATGTGCAGTAATTCAAAGCTGTGTATTTCTCTTTGCATTTCCGAGGGAAGGCTCAGATTGTGAGCTCGTGGTACAGGAAGATGATTTCACTGTAAATTCACACCCCAGTTCCCTCCCTCATGGAGTTTTCCACCATGTCCCTGCAATGCCTTTTTCTGATAAACACTCGAAAAATTGTAAATCAGAGGTGTGAGCTGTGGACTTCTGAAAGCCCTTACTCCCATAAAATGGCAAAAAAAAAGGAGGGCAGTTTGTGTTAGTGCAAGAAGAAAAAAACAAAGACCAGGCTCTTGTCAATCATTTAATCCATCTACAACCCAGGTAAAAAATTATGGGCTTTTAAAAAATGAATTTATAAAAATAAAGGCTTTAATAAACCTGCTAATGATTTTGTACTCTCCTATTGCTGCCCAGCACAATGTGGGGAATTTTGGGTATGACAGACAACACTTTGATGCATTTCTGACCCTGAACAAGTGCATGGTTTAAACAAAAAACTGCAAGAAGAAGCCAGGGAATATTGCTGGGCCCCACTGTTTATCTCTTCTGCCTCAGCTGAGCTCCAGGAAGTGCTTGCACTCAGCTGAGCACATCAGTTCATGAGAGGAGTAAGAACTTCCTCAGGCTTAAGGATGGATAAACAAATGGTTTTACACACACACATTGAAGGATTTGGTTTCCAAAACTATTTTGGATAGCTGAATATTTGAAATTCACAACTTCTATTTTTTATACATATTCAGTTATATTGTAGGTAAATAACAGGAAAAACCACAGGAAGTGAACATAAAGAGCAGCAAATTGCAAACTGACTTTTACATACAGCAGTTACCAATCCTATGCTGAAAGGACAAACATTGTCTTAATTTTAACAGTTTACATATTTGTAAATGTATGCAGACCAAATAAACACTTGCAATTATAGAGAATATTTTTTTGGCATATCAAAGCTTACTGATGATTGTGTGATTTTATTTTTAGTAACATCAGAACTGTCCTTATTGCCATTGCTTCAGCTAAACAGATGTGAATGTACTCCCAGAAAAAGGAGTCAGACTGGAGATTCCCAAACAATTTTGGCCACAGACCTCCAGCAATATCCCATGATGACCATTTTTCAAATGGTTAAAATTAAACATTACAAGAATTAATTAAAACGAAATCTTACAAATTAAAAGAATTAAATGGGAAGAGCTGACTGCAGCACCTGAATCCTGCTGCTGGGCAATTGAAAGTGCTGTCACCCAAGCAGTGCTGAAAACGTTACCCAGGGAGCTCAGGCCACATCAGTGAAGTGTCCCCAGCGTGTGCAGCAGCTGCAGCAACAGCTGTGCCAGCTTCAAAGAACCAGAGCTGCTTGTGTTCTGTGCTTACAGCAACAGCTCAGGTGAGATTTCACACGTGCATGTGCAAAGCTTTCGGTTTATTAGGGTTGGAAATAATGAATCAACAAGTAAAAAGCCCAATTTTTTTTTTTTTTCTCCACTGTGTACAGTAAACAAGTGTTGCACTTGGGAGGAACACCTGCAGCTCGACATGGAGGGATCAGTCCTTGTGCACACAGAGTGAGCAGAGAATTGTTCTGTAAGAGCTCAGACACAGCTCCAGAGCCTGCTCAGTCCCTGCTCTCAAACCCTGCTGCCTCTGCACTCACCAGGCTCTGAAGACACAACTTTGGGGAACCAAAACCAGCACAAAGCAAGAGTTTCTTCAGTTACCCCATGCCCACGGACAGGATCCCCCCTCCTTCCTGCTCTGAGCCCCCTCTGCTGTGGTTCTGCTCCTTCCTTCCTGCCTCACCATGGGTTTGCTGCACGCATTTCTGTACAATTCAAGAGGCTGAGGAGAAATTTCCAGGTGCAGCCCCCTCCTGCCAGCCCCAGCTGGGGGTTCTGGTGCTGTTGTCTCCCCCCCCAGACCCTCAGCAGATTTTTCTTTCCCAGTTTCCCGGACAAAAGTGTTTGTCCACTGTATGGCTCTGTCTTGGAATGCCACTGAAGGCAGAGGATGGTTTCATCAGGGATGTGTCTCTCAGCCACGTTGACACAATTAGTTAAATTAATGTGCTTTGTGACTAAATGCCTTTTCCCCTCAAGGCAACGTCAACGTGGCACAACCATTTCTGCCACTGCCAGCTACAATTTTTCATTTTCTTTCAGTATTTCTCAGCTACTTCAGAGCCACCCAGCTGACACAGTATAATTTAGTTGCTCACACGTAGCAAGGATCAGCTCCACAGGCTGATTTAGTCACAATATTGTGCTCACATGCCATCATTTGACATGCACACGCTGTCGTGTCTGCAAAGCTCATCCTGCTCAAGGCATGTCACAAACACAGAGGAATTCTGAGCTGTAGCACAAGAAACCAACCTCAAAATGCTTCACTTCTCTGTAATTATTGTCCTTATTTCTTATTCTTACACTCTTACCACCAGATTCTGTTTAGGTGACAGGGTTAGCATGCACTAGATAAAGTGCAAGCTCCACTACTTATGAAAACACAAACCACAAACCCACAGGTTTTTTCCTATAACTACATCTTACAATTTTATACTTGAAGAGCTAAAAAAACTTAATATAAAAAAAAACAAAAACCCAAAACCAAAACCAACCAGCTAACGACTCCAACAAGTAAAATGCACCTTTCAGAAACCACAAAGATGTGAGGTGCTCATGTCACAGGGGCTTTCAGATGCACCAGGCACGAGCAGTTTGATTTGCCTGGCTTCAAACAGAAGAATATTCTGTGCTGCCACCCCAGCCAGGAGTTTTGTGTGTGTGTGCTCATGTTCACAGGAGCAGTGAATGGAAATGCTCGAGGTGATCCCAAGCTGGTTTTTTGTAACCCTGAGGCTGCTCCTCACCACGCAGCCATCGAGGTTAAAAATAGAAACAGCGGAACTACTTTCAACCAAACTTGCAACACAGGAAGTGAATGAAATTCCACTTAACTATTGCTGGCTCAACAGAAGGCACCTCACAGAGTAACAGTTAGAGGATTTCCTCAGAGTAACTAAAAGAACAGATTAATATTACATTTATTGCTTGTTCTATAGAATTTTTCACCATCAGCTCGTCCTTTTCCAGTGCTTTAAGTATTTCAGGGCACTTTCCTTATGCTCTGCTGTACCCTAGCACTTTCTATTTTTTATTTTATTTAACGCCTTGAGTTTTGTGAGCAGAGCCTGTCCATCACTTCAGGAGATCAAATAAAACACACTGCAAGCCATAAACCACCCAAAACTGTT